CCGCAGCCTCAACCTGCTGGGCTGCGGTGATCCTTCCGCCTCAGCCTTCCAAGTAGCCGGAACTACAGGCGTGCACTCCCACGCCTGGCTAATTTTTATTTATTTATTGTAGAGACAAGGTCTTGCCAAGTTGCCCGGGTGGGCCTCAAACCCGCGGGCTTAGACAGTCCACTCGCCTCAGCCTCCCAAAGTGCTGAGATTACAGGCTGAGCCACCGAACCCGACTACAATACACACTTTAAAAGGGCTGCTTTGTTAGTATGCAAGGCAAATCTCAATTTTTTTTTTTTGATTGGAGGTCTCACTCTGTTGCCCATGCTGGAATGCAGTGGCATGATCAGTGCTCACCACCGCCTCAACCTCTTAGACTCAGGTGATCTGCTCCTGGGTACCTGGGACTACAGCCGTGTGCCACCATGCACAGCTAATTTTTGGATTTTTTGTAGAGATGAGGTCTCACTGTGTTGCCCAGGCTGGGCTCAAGTCCTGCTTCGGTCTCCCAAAGTGCTGGGATTATAGGCAGGAGCCACCACACCCAGCCTCAATTTTTCTTTCTTTTCTTTTTTTTTAACAAAGCAATGATGTATATGAGCGCCATTTCTGGGCTGCTGAGCATAGAGCAAATGTCAGCTGTTAGGATTATTGCTGGGTGTAGCTGTTGCTGGGAACTGGCGTGAAAACTAGGGGAAGAGAGGGTGCCGGTTAATAGAGTGGTTAGGATCCTGGAATCAGAGCTGGACTATCACCCAGTTCCTACCACTTGCTGGCCATGAGCTCTTGCTTTCATCAGAGCTGTCTTGGGTGCAAATGTCCGAAACCTAGTCAAAATGGATCATTCAAAGAGGACATTGATTAACTGAATGTAACTGAGAAGTCTAACGGGATTGGCTTCAGGTGCGACTGGACCCGGGGGCCACAGTGTCAGTGAGGACTTGTCTTTCTCCACTTCTTGGCTTTCTGTGTCCAGGCTGGGTGGTGTCCAGCGTGGTGGCAGGCACAGCTCCACAGATCAGCACAGTGACTTCAGGGGAAAAGAAGACACTCCCACAGTCG